TCGGTGAGAACGACCTGGTAACTATGTGGGATGGTATTTACAAGACAACCATGCTGCTTCACGAGCTCCTGGCGTTCGGCGACAAGGCCATGGACGCAGGCACCCTTGTTACCTTTAAGCTTCTCGGATGTGTACAAGACGAAGAAGGGGATGATGTTTCAACCGCGGCCAGCGCATTGCTGGGTCTTCACGCCGGAGCTGGCGATTTGGGTGACGAGTGGTCGCAGTGCCTGCAGAACCCATGCGAGTGTAAAGCTCCAGAACCTGGTTCAGACGACGAATGTGATGTAGTGACCAAGGATGAAGACGCCGAGCCGGCGGTCACTGCCGGCGACAAACTGTTACGAGAACTTCGCATTGAAGTTGAGGCTGCAGCTGCTTCATCCGAAAAAAAGAGACGTTCATGCCCTCTGTGCCCATTTCGATGCTTCCAGGACCCATCCCGTGTGCGGCGGCACATTGCAAGCTATCACGTGGACAGAAAGCAGTTCGTGTGCAGTGGCACCAAGCAGCTGAAACTGTGCTGCGCTCTTTTCGACAACGATCAGCTTCAGGGTAACATCAAGGGATCTTATCTCAAGCGCAGCGCAGCTATTCTTCGAGCCACTGTTCGACCGCCTCTACCTACCACAGTGAGCGAAATCGACAGAGATATTCGGCTGGTGTTTACTGGTAATGGCCCCGAATATTGGAGATTAACGACTGTGCAGGAATCGAAGAGTATCAGACGTGTGCGCAATCTGTACTATTCGAAAGAGTTCGGTGAGCTTGTGTATCGGGAGCTGCTCATGTGCCATGCGAAGTGCAAAGCTGTGCCTTGGCAATACTCAGATTTTTTGGCGTAAGTGACTGTGTAGACGTCTCTATCATAGAGTAGTGTTCCAAGGCAAAGCCCCGAATGGCAATGGTCATTACCGCAAACGGCTCCGAGCTCGCATCGCTTCTGCCCACAGACGTCAGACATTGGTGGCCCATTGTCGAAGACGTCTTCACCTCAACAGC